GGAGCAGTACGGGAGAGGTCCGGCTTCTTCCGATGCGTTGTCAACTTTCTGTTCATCACAGTCTGCTTCGTCCGCTGCTGACGCGAAGGCTCGGTCACCACGAAAGCCACCTGTGAGGTCCCGATTCTCGTGCAAGTTGGCGAGGTACGTCTGAAGGGTGAGTCGCTCGTAGAAGATCACGTCACGTGCTGCTACTGTTTCTTTTGAGTGGACATCGAAGATTCTCCACGCGTTGTAATTTTTCTCGATGCCGAGGTGTAGTCCCCACTGTGCCCGTTGCGAAAATCTTCCCGCTCGTGCTTCGGGGGGTCGGTACTGTACCATACACCCGAAAACTCGTAACATTTTTGTGCTGCCCTGTTTCCCTGTCCACAGCAGATGCGGTGATGCGTTGTTCAGGAGTGACGACGACGACAGCAAGTTGTGTAGCATGACAGCATGGTCCATTGCTGCTGGCCACTGGTGGTTGGGTAGCCGCATGCCACGTAGCAGCTTGCGCATGCTATTCTGCAGAGTCCTGTTCATTCTTTCTGCAACACCTTGCTGCTGATGAGCGTAGGGAAGGGAGAGGAGTTGCTTGATTCCCCTTTCCGCCAGGTACTGCTTGAAGCGCTGAGAGGTGTATTCTCCTCCTCCGTCTGACTGGAAGCTTTTCAGCTGCGTTCCTGACTCCCTCTCTGCTACCGGTAGCCAGGCGGCGAACGCTGCGAGAGCCATGTCGCGACTGGGTAGGTTTCGATGCCAAACGTATCGAGTGGCGGCGTCGATGAAGGTTATCGTGTAGTTATAGGTAACTTGTTCTGGGTCTCGATTGAAGAGGATGTCGCTGTATACTTTTTCGAGTGGTGCGTATGCAGGTGCGCTCGGGTTGTGGTGAGAAGGAAACGGTCGATGGGGTAAGTCGGCTTCGGGGCATATGAGGCAAGTTCCTCGTGCCCTTTGAAGTTCTCTGCCGTCGGGTAGAAGAAGTGAATCTTTGTCCAGGACTCCTGCTCGTATTGTGTTATTTAACACCGTGTTGCTTGGATGTCCTGTGCGTGCGTGCCAGATGTCTTCAGGGGCGCGATGTCCGGGTGAGCGCTGATATGCGTCAGAGTTGGAGTAGAAGCTGGCGACAATATTGGCGCTTCTGTGGACTTCTCGTTGAGTCGGGTTCAGCTGCTGTGCGAGTGTTGAAGGTGCTTCGTCGACGGTGACTGGTGTCGTTGTTCCTGCTGCTGCCGATGTTGTCTCTGCTGCTGCTGATGTTGTCTCTGCTGCTGCTGATGTTGTCTCTGCTGCTGCTGATGTTGTCTCCGCTGCTGCTGATGTTGTCTCCGCTGCTGTCGTTTGTTGAATCGTTGCTAATGCTCGTGTTCGTTCTGCTTCAGGGATGGTGTGCGAGTACCAGAAACCTCCCGGGCTGAAGTCGGGATCGAGATCCGGGGGGTGTGTCCAGTCGGCGAAGTTGACGATGGCGTCGCTGTCTGCAGTGCCTAGGTCGGGGACGAAAGCGAGGACGAAAACGTTGTTCTTCAGAACTGCTTTTCCAATGTAGAGGCCGCCCTTCCCGTGGTACAGTTTAAACTCCTGGGTGGCGCCTTAAGGCGAATAAAAATCAGAGATAGCGTTGCAGCGGAAGAAATAGGAAAACCCCGTTCAAAATTCCATGCATACTACCGCATGGTGACTCTTCTCCTGTTACACTTGTAGCCTTCGAGTGGTGATTTTGGGGCAGGTACTGCATATTTTGACCTGATTGTGCCTTGAGAGACTCTTGTTAGTTTCATGTCGTATGCAGGCTTGGTGATAGCAATCACGCGTTCTGTTTTCTCAGAACTACTAGTCTCAGTGCATCGAAGTGGATTATTTTATCTCCCATCCCCTCCCCCACCTTCATCCTTCTCCTCCCCTCCTGCTCCCCTCTCATGCACTTTCTGCTGCCAGTGCAAGTCCTTCTGTACTTCCAGCAGGCATGGGGGCGGACATTCTCTGGGTGGCTGGCTGGAGGGAACTGTAGCTCGGCCTACAATGTGGCGTGCGATGCCAAAGGCATGGTGACCGAAATGTGAGATAAGCAGAGCTTGCTGGTGTTGCATCCCTCATTTGTAGACCAACTCTTGCTGGCCCTGAATTGGGTGCCCATGTGGATAACATGTTCATGTTCTCCTTGCCGTCATCTGAGAAGGGGATTGGTATGGCGCGGGTGTTCCACGACTGAGGCTAAGGGCGTACTTGTCTCTTTGGTGGTGCTGTGGAGCAAGTCTCGGGCTTGGGTGTGACTGGTGAGGCAAATGTGCTCGAATTCCATGGCTGGATCGGTGATGCCTGAGCCCAAGTCCTTGCAAGGAGAAGGTGGGGATGCGCAACTTGCAGGAGATTCAGGGGAATGTGAAGCCAAATTCGAATCTATGAGGGCTGCAACGGAACACGGAAGTGGAGTTGTGGTTCACGAACCACAGGGGAGGTTGTTGGAGTGGTTCGCGGAACCACACTAATGACGGCGCACATAATACGGTCGAGACGGCAGAATGAAGGCGACGGAAACGTGTGGACTATTCTAGAGAGAAGCGGTGGAAATCGGCCTACGACGTGAGAGGGGAGAGAGAAATCGAGAAGGAATGTGTGAGAAGGTGGAAGAAGCATCGAGATTGAAGTTGACGAGGGGAAAATGTGGTTTGAGACCAAGGCGCGTTCGAGAAGGTTCCAGATTCGGACTTGAGGAGTGTTCACCGAATTCGGTTCGGTTGCGTGTGCGACTCGGGGTGAAACGAGGCGCACGCGGTTACTTGGGAAACAAGTGAAGTTAGGAATCGCATTTTGTGTCTTGCTTGACTATAAACCTGTTTGTACTCATTCTGGAAATACAACATTGATCAGTTGGAGATTCTGAAAATTGCAGAAGTGTGTATTGACAACTTCAAGCAGAGCTGCGCATATCATTGGATTCGTGAGATCGTGGAGAACACGATAGGCGATAGCAAGTAGACTATTGCCGACTAAGGTGTTTACGATCGTATCAGAGCTGGTTTAAGTGGCGTTTAAGCATTCTTAAGTGCAGAGCGAAGCTTTCGAGATGGTCGGCGGACAATTGGAAGCTAGTTCGGGCTCCTCTGTGTGTATTGGAGATCCCCAAGTGAAGGCACTTCTGGAAGTGCTGGCGCAAGGAGGGGTGGTGACCAAGCCCACCATGGGGCTAAGCGAATCCCAGCGGTTCCACGGCGAGCACTACAGCACGTGGCGACTGAAATTCATAAGGAGGGCGAAGGAGGTCGGCTTGTGGGAGTATTACCGATCGGACGAGAAAGGCGACAAAGCCGAGCGTGCGGCGAAATCGGAAGAGGAAAAAATGGAATTCAAGAAACGGAGTAAGCTAGCGTTTTTCCAGTTGTGTCACTATGTTGCAGACGAAATTGCAGTGGGTCTTGATGGTTTTGCATAGCTTGAGAACTCTGCACAAGCGGCATGGGCGTACATGGAGTCTACATACCTCGGGCACATGGACGCGAACATCGCCGACGTGAGGAAGAAGTTGTTGCTAATGACCATGGAGCCGATCCAAAAGATGATTGACTACGTCAACATGGCGAGGAGCTACAATGATGACTTGACTGCGATGGACGAGCCGGAAACTGAAAGGGCGATGATAGGGCACATCGTCAACGGGCTACCTGAAGATTGGTCGGGTGAGCGGCCGGCGTTGATCTGCCACCCACCGGAAAATATGACAAAACTTATTGCCATGCTTCAGGCGTTGGAGCGAGCACGGGATCATCAAAAGCGTAGGGAGAAGTTCACCAAGGGCGTGGAACAGGAGAAACCTGCGTTGGTGAACGCGGCAGCTGCTGGAAGGAGCGTGGGAGCTTGCTACCAGTGTGGAAAGATGGGACACAAAGCGTTTGAGTGCGCGGAGAACCCGAGGAGCAGAAACTACAAGGGGAACGGTGCGGGATGGAGTGGAGCACAGCAGATTGGTGCAGGAAATGGAAGGGGACCGAAAGGGAAGTTCAACGGAGCGTGTCATCATAGCAAGAAGATTGGGCATAGGGCGATTGACTGCTATTCCAACCCCAACAGCCGGAGCTATAGGGGACCGCAGCAGCAGGGATCAGCACCTCCGAAAGCAAATGCAGCAGCAGCACCAACAGCAGCAGAGAATGACAAGGAAGATGCCATTCTCGGTGGCGCACATAAGGCGAATGTGGCGCGCGCATGCTGGCAAAAGGAGGTGGAGCTGGTGCGTGGTTCATGGACAGCAGGTGCACTCAGCATATGACGAATCATTGTGAGTGCTTGACTGGAATGAGGGAATCAAGTGTGTCGTATGTGATTTTGGGGGATGAAGGGAAATTGACTGTGAAGGGCGAAGGGGGGTTGATTTTGCAAGGGCAGTATGGGGCTAAGTTGGATCTTACGTTTTCGGTTCCTTACGTTTTCGGACGATTACGACAATTTTTACGTTTACGAACGATCGCCCAGATTCGGCCTTACGTTTACGGTCACCTAAAAACTTTTCTGAGCTGCCCGAGGGAAAAAAACGACCAAAACATCAAGAGGATTCCCTCCACCCTAGTTCCGTAATTTGATATCTTGTCGACGTCAACGTAGCAACTCGTTCGCAACCTATCGTGTTTCTCTCTTGCTAGCCTGGTCAACGCTGAATTTGAAACTTTCACGGCCTTGAAAGGAGCTCCATACGTAGTAAAGTCGCTATTCTAGAAAGGCACATGACAAATTAGTGGTACGATCTGGTACCCGTACACAATCCAATAAAAAGTATCACATTAGTTTTTTTTTCCTGCTCACCTCATACTTACGTGTAATTTTACGCTTCCGTTTACGTTTACGCTAAATTTTGCGAAATTTACGTTTACGAGACCTCAAAAAACGTAAGAGACCAACTTAGGTATGGGGAATTGAAGTTGGAGAATGTGCTGTATGTGGAGGGATTGGCCTTGAACCTGATCAGTCAATCGCAGTTGGACAGCAACGGGTGCAAGACTTTCAGTGACAAAGGAAAGATGTGGGTGTTTGACCATGTATGGAATGTGATCGTTGAGGGGATGAGGACTGATGGATTGTATGAGATGAAGCTGAATGAGAAGGCCTTGGCAACAGAGAAGGCTACTTACCAGCCACCACCGAAGGAAGGAGTGATGGCGAGGGAGGAGTTGAAGGCGAAGCTGAAAGGAGTGACAGTAGAGGAGTTGCAGGTGGGAGCTGTTGCAATGGTGGCAGCAGCTGCAAAAGTGGATCTAGAGACCCTGCATAGGCGGCTAGGACATGCGGGGATGGAGCGGATTAAGGAGCTAGTGAAGAAGGGCATGGCAGCCGGTGTGGAGCTGAAGGAAGGAGATGGGAGTAAGAGGAGGTGCGGCAAGTGTGTGGAAGGCAAGATCTCAAAAACCCCCCATCCCATACACTAGGTTCAAGAGCCCTACGGTGCAATGGAGATAGTGGCAGCTGATGTGTGTGGGCCATTGAGGGAAACTTCAAGGCACGGGAGCCGGTTCTTCGTCACTTTCACTGACCTAGGGACTAGGCACACGTGGGTGACAGAAATCAAGGACAAGACAGAGGTGTTTTCCAGTTTCTTGGACTGGATGGCTGAAGCTGAAAGGCAAAGTGGGAAGCAGCTGAAGGTGTTAAGGACCGACAATGGTGGGGAGTTTGTGAATGCGGAGTTCAACAGTTTTTTTGCGCACGAAGGGGATACTAAGGCAGCTGACGGTACCGTACACCCCACAGCACAACAGCATTGCAGAGAGGGTGAGCAGGTCACTCTTGGATAGTGTGAGGACCATGCTAGCTGATAGCGATCTTCCACTGAAGTATTGGGGAGATGCCTTGGGGATGGCATGCTGGGTGAAGAACAGGTTGCCTACCAAAGGCCTTGCAGCAGATATGACCCCGCATGAGGCTTTTTATAGGAGGAAGCCGAACATGGGGTTTGCAAGGGTGTGGGGCTGCATGGCTCAGTATAGGGAGCCGGTTGGACCGGACCACAAGCTCCTACCAAGGAGCAAGTGGGGGATTAACCTTGGGATGGGCAAGGTGAGCAAGGGCTAGGTGATTAAGGACGTGGAGACAGGCAAGGTAGTGGTGACCAGGGATGTCATCTTCTATGAGGATGTTAATTACCTGCAGTTGAAGGGAGTGAACAAGGAGATAGCAACGGGAGCAGCAGCTGCGCTTGATAAGGTGGAGAAGCTGCTAGTGGAGAAGGAGAACGAGGGGATAGGGTGTGATGAGGAGGAGTCAGGAGGTGGTGCGGACAAACCTACCAAGGAACCTATTTGGCCGGAGCCGCAGAAGAAAAAGGTTGTAGAGGCGGCAGCAGATGTGGAGGAAAAGGGGCACCACGAAGGAGAGCATAGAGAGACGGGCACAGAGGAGGAAAATCAGGATGTGGAGCACGTGGAAAGCAGTGATGGGACAGCACAGGAGGGCGAGGGTAACCCATGGAGACTGATCAGTAGTGAAGCTACTTGTGAAGCTGCTAAAAAGTTAAATGAGCTGCTGGAGGATGGAGCCATGGTGATAGGAAAGGAACGAGGGCTTGACGAGATATATGCAGCGACAAAGGAAGTTAGTAAGGACGAGACACCGGCTGAGGAGTTGGGGCGCGGTCTGAGGATCAAGAAGAAACCAGCTAAGTTTGTTTCACTGGTTATGACACCTTGGAACGATGTGAGGACCCATCTGCTCCTGGCTGCAACTGCGACGGCGCTAGTGTCACAGGGGAGTTTGGAGAAGTATAGCCTGCCTAAGGAACCCGTGACTGTTGAAGAAGCCTTGGCAGGACCACAGAGGGAGCAGTGGATGGCTGCAATTCAAGAGGAGCTGGACACTCTAGCAGAGAGAGGCACTTGGGAGTTAGTGCCTATGCCGGAAGGAAGGGCAGCAGTGGGTGTGAAGTGGATTTTTAAGATCAAGACAGGGGATATGGGGCAGCTGGAGCGGTTTAAGGCAAGGTTAGTGGCAAAAGGGTATACTCAGGTCGAGGGGGTTGACTACAACGAGACCTATGCTCCCGTGAGCAAGCTTACAACCGCAAGAGCATTCCTGAAGGTGGTAGCGGCAAGGGGTTATTTCTTGGTGCAGCTGGACATCAAGAATGCGTTTCTGCATGGTGTAGTGCGAGAAGAGATGTACATGGATCAACCAACCGGGTTTGAAGACAGCACCGATAGGAAGTGTAAGCTGTTGAAGGCGTTGTACGGGCTGAAGCAGAGTCCAAGGGAGTGGTATAAGGCGATGGATGAGAGGTTGCTGAAAGGAGGGTTCCAGAAAAGTGAGTGTGACCGAGCGTTCTATTGGAGGGGAGAAGGAGAGAAGAAGGTGTACTTGCTACTCTATGTGGATGATATCCTCATAGCAGGAGCTTTACTGGCTGAGGTGGAGAGAGTGTGTGACCATCTTGCTGAGGTTTTTCAGGTGAAACAGATTCCTAGGACAACGCTGTTTTTGGGGATGAACCTGGAGCGGAATGTGGAAGAGAAGAAGCTCTTCTTGTACCAGAAAAGATATTGCAACCGGGTGCAGCAGAGGTTTGGCCAGGGTTTCACCAAGGAGATCACGACACCACTCAGCGGCATGGCAGCAAATGATAACGAGCAGGAAGAGGATGTGAAGCAGTGGGGAGGAGAAAAGAAAGCGCTGCAGATGTACCAGTCGATGGTGGGATCGGATATGTATCCGGTTTCATGCACAAAGGTCGACATGGCATATGCGGCGAGTTACTTGGGGCAGCATGTGCAGCGGGGAAGGAAATGGCGGGAAATGAAGCGGGCACTTAGTTTTTTGGTGCAGCATGGCGAGGAGGGGCTTCTCTTTGAGGGAGGAGAAGAGACTTTGCAGCTGGTGGGGTATGCGGATGCCTCACATGCACCGGACAAGAAAACAGGGAAAGGCGCATATGGGTACGTGTTCCTTCTTGGGGGCACTGCCATCATGTGGCAAGCAAAGAAATTGGCGGGCATAGCATTGTCAACTGCTGAATCGGAGTACATGGCACTGTTCTTTGCGTGCCACGAGGAAGTGTGGCTGAGGAGGCTGATGAAGGAGCTCGACATCACTATTGAAGGACCTACTGTTGTGAAGTCGGATAGCAAGTCGGCCATTGACTTGGCCAGAAACGACAATTGGCATGGGAGGACGAAGCACATGAATGTGAAGTATCACTGGGTACGGGAGCAGCTCGAGAAGCAGCAGTTCAAGTTTGAGTTCGTTCCCACTGAGGAGCAAGTGGCAGATTTCTTGACCAAGGTGCTACCTAGGTCTAACTTTGAGTATTGCAAGGAGAAGGTGGGGATGCGCAACTTGCAGGAGATTCAGGGGAATGTGAAGCCAAATTCGAATCTATGAGGGCTGCAATGGAACACGGAAGTGGAGTTGTGGTTCACGAACCACAGGGGAGGTTGTTGGAGTGGTTCGTGGAACCACACTAATGACGGCGCACATAATACGGTCGAGACGGCAGAATGAAGGCGACGGAAGCGTGTGGACTATTCTAGAGAGAAGCGGTGGAAATCGGCCTACGACGTGAGAGGGGAGAGAGAAATCGAGAAGGAATGTGTGAGAAGGTGGAAGAAGCATCGAGATTGAAGTTGACGAGGGGAAAATGTGGTTTGAGACCAAGGCGCGTTCGAGAAGGTTCCAGATTCGGACTTGAGGAGTGTTCACCGAATTCGGTTCGGTTGCGTGTGCGACTCGGGGTGAAACGAGGCGCACGCGGTTACTTTGGAAACAAGTGAAGTTAGGAATCGCATTTTGTGTCTTGCTTGACTATAAACCTGTTTGTACTCATTCTGGAAATACAACATTGATCAGTTGGAGATTCTGAAAATTGCTGAAGTGTGTATTGACAACTTCAAGCAGAGCTGCGCATATCATTGGATTCGTGAGATCATGGAGAACACGATAGGCGATAGCAAGTAGACTATTGCCGACTAAGGTGTTTACGATCCTGAGACCGACATGGCTTTCAAGGAGGGTTTGAGCGTATATTCCAACACAGGAGAGCGGTTAGCTAGGGCTGTAATAGGCTCTGTCACTTGATCTCCCTCTCTTCTTGAACCACTCCTCCCATGGATTCTCTTGTCCTCCAAGCTCACTCTGTTTTGTAACAAAACCTCTAAATAAGAACACCACCACTGTTGACGGAAGGTGAATAATTTTGATAACGACAGTAAACGGACACATCAACTAGTGCCACGTGTGACTCATAAGAGAGATTGGGATTCACAGAGGGACGGAGAACTGAAACCCGGAACTGTTATGTTAAAGTGTTCCATAGGAGTAGAGAAAATGGGCGAGAGGTTTGGAAAAGTTTGCAATGGTAATGAGTGTGGTCGAGCCGTGGATACGGTTGCTTGGGGTTCTTGCTTGATGGGTTGCTCTTTGCGCAGAGCTCCTCTGTGGAGTGGAAACTAATTCCTATCTGCCAATGCCCATGGTTTTGAAGCCCGACATTTACTCTCCTTCCGTACGTAATCACAAAACGGGACCAACCATCTGAGAATTCAGAAAATGCGCGTAGACATATGTAAGGTAGATAAAGTTTAAGTGCTGCTTTACACTCCCCCCCCCCCCCTCCCCCCCTCCCCTCTTTTTCCGTCCATTTCATTTGCGCGGCTCACTTTGGAAGGTCTTTTTGTGCATCAAAGCACCAACCTTAACGCTACTATTAGGTGCTATGACCCTCCTTGCACGTAGACACAAGTGGACAACAGATGGGCTGCAGAGGCCCCTTGTTCTCACATAATCCCCAACACACCATTCTATTCTTATCATTTCAAATGTCCCCTGTCCACCCATTCCATTCCACTGCCCACCAGCTATCCACTGAATGAAGGCCTAACCGGATCCATTCCAGATTCCATCAGTGCCCTGGAGAGGCTGAGATTTTTGTGAGTAAGAAAAGACATGGTATCTTAGAGCATACATAATATGTTTCTGTGCACACTTAGAAGATGGGTAACTCATTTCATGTTCACATATCAACAAGACATCCTCACAACATATGCAGCCATTCTAAAACACAATTGATGTAACAAGCGTATGGTTAATACATGTCATGGCTTCTAACTTGGCTGTGTTTGTCTTGTTTCCTAAGGCTACTTAAATCATGGATCTCAGAATTTAAGATTTCTGACGATGTTGAAAGAAAATCAGGGTATCCAGCTCTGTAAAATTGCTGCTCGCTGGAAATTGCTGAACAAATGTGAAATTTCATGGTGTTTCTGTTCAAAGTTTTCACCCCTTTACTCTCTCTGTCTCCCTTGGATCGAACCTCTTGCATTTACATACTCACAGCTCTCTTTATAACAACAGTTTGACTGGGTCTATTCCATCCACCATCGGCACCATGAGCAGTCTCACTTTCCTGTGAGTTTCGGTATTTTCCAAGCGAACTTCCACCTTTGGTTGGGTAACTTGGAAGCATGAGTATGATTATGCACGCTACACATGAGCAAGGGCCAGGCCAGGTGAGCACTGAAGGGTCACTGAGATTTTCAAAGCGGTACTGTGTGGGGTCGAACCAGCTCAAACCGTCTGATGTGGCCAGATCCAACCGGTTTGCCTTGGGTCAAGGTGTATCCTCGAGCTCAAGATTCAAATATGGCTGCACATTGCTAGGAAACCTACCTAGTTGTAAAATCCAGCATATTCGGTTTGGTTTTGCTGAGCCTTCAGTGTAACCACATTGTCTTCCCTATATCCCATGTTTCACGTAATCAGCTGCAAAACATCACATTTACACAGACTGGATCGAAAACCTTGGGCCGTGCGGATGTGGCCACAAACCTCAGATTTGAGCAAGTCTGTGTGAAATGAGTAAGCAGGAATGAGAATGACTAAGGAAAGATTGGGTACAAATACAACCCTAGAAACCCTGTACCCCATATGTGCTACCCCACTATAGCCTACAGCAACTATGTCATATAAATCTGACACACCCCCATAGGCAAAGTGGGGGAGAACAAGGGGTCACAAGACCAGTCAAGCAAAGCAAAACAAGCTCAGGGTGGATCACAAAGTCACCATACAGTCCGAGCACAAGAGTAGGGCCAGAGGCCAGTTCACATGCAGGAGTACAGACATATGTATAAAACTAGACAAACAAGAGCAGGCATATATATATGTCACAGTACAAGTGAAGTCAAGAGGAGAGCAAGTGAGGCAAGACAGGCACAAGACCCAGCTGGGTGCAAAAGCGCTGATGGTCACAAGGCGCGAGTGCCTTGGTGAACACATCAGCAGTGTTGGCCTCAGAGGCCACGTACGCAAGTCGCAACTGACCACGCTGCTGCAGCTCACGAGCAAGGAAGTAGCGGAGAGCAATGTGCTTCGTTCTGTGCTCCAAGCGCTGCTCTCGACACAAGGCCAGCATAGCCTTGTTGTCTACGTACAGCACTGGAGGAGAACGAGGCGGCTCTCCAAGGTCAGTCAGCAGGTAGGTGAGCCAGCGAAGCTCCTGTGCAGCCATGGCCCCGGCGTAGATCTCAGCCTCACAACTGGAGCCGAGAACCGAAGACGAGCGAGTAGACCGCCACGAGACAGAGCCGGAACCAAGGCTGAAGGTGTAACCCTGTGACGACCGCTGCGTAGCCTGGTCGTCAGCCCAAGAAGCGTCCGCGTGGCCGGTAAGGACCACTGGACTCCTCCCTCCAAGCACTAGCCCCATGCCCGACGTACTGCACAGGTAGCGCAATACCCTCTTAGCTGCAGCCATGTGCTCCGGTTTGTGTCTCCCAGGAGCAACATAGCGTGCAAGAATGCTCAGAGGGTATGCAAGGTCAGGTCGTGTGCAGGTCATCAGGTACATGAGGCAGCCAACAAGCTCTGCATACGGACCACTCGACTCTACGGACTCATCCGAAGGCAGAGCTGAGAGTGAGTGCGAGTAGGCAGAGGAGTGGCCTGAGGCGAGGAGTACGTGAAGCCGAAGCGCTGAAGGACCTGCTGCACCATGTGTGACTGAGTCAAGGTAATGGTGCGGCGTGCTCTGTCCCGAGTGATCTGCAAGCCAAGGTAGCTGCGCAGTTCACCCAGGTCTGTGCACGTGTGTCTCTTCAGCAGCTCGGACTTCACGTAGGCGAGTCCAGCAGTGTCCGCTGTGGCAAAGACCAAGTCGTCGACGTACACGAGGATGTAGAACGGCGGCAGGGAAGTGTCGGTGCGAAGAAACAGCGACGGGTCAGCAGTAGAAGGAGCAAACCCAAGAGCCGCAAGCGTAGTCCTCAGTGTGTCGTGCCACTCACGCGGTGCCTGGCGGAGACCGTAGACTGGCCGTCGGAGGCTCCACTGGGTGCCAGGAGGGAAAGTCCCAGTGAAGCCAGGTGGACGGCGAAGCCAGATCTCCTCGTGCAGGCTACCCTGCAAGAACGCAGTGCTGAAGTCGAGAGAGTGAAGCTCGTAGTCGCGCTGAGCGGCTATGTGCAGCAGCACCCGAAGAGTAGTCATCTTCGGGGTGGGAGAGAAGGTCTGAAAGTAGTCAACTCCCTGCCGCTGACTGAAGCCACGAGCAACGTACCGTGCCTTGAAGACAGGTGGAGAGCCCGGCGGCCGCTTCACCCTGAAGATCCACATGCCACTGACGATGTTCGCCCCAGGAGGGGGAACCGCGTCAACGTAGGTGCCTGTGGACTTCCAGGAAGCCATCTCTGCATCCATAGCTGCCTGCCACTGAGAGGAGTAGGGACCCTCTACGGCCTCCGCGTAAGAACGCGGAGTCGGGATGTCTAGTGCATCCGGGTCTCCCTCAGGGGCAAGCAGTACAGACGCGAGATGAGGTGAAGCAGCCGCTAGACACTGTAACTCCTCCTGCCTGTCCTCTAGGACGTCCGTGCTAAGAGCACACTCACCCCCGACGGACGGAGGACAGACAGACGCAGACTCAGCAACAAGACTAGCAGCGTAGTCGAGAGGACAGCGAGCAGCAAAGTCGACGAGCTCAGCGACTAGAGCAGACGCAGCAGTGGACTCAAAAGAGGGGTCAGTGACGACAGTAGCAAGCAGACGCGTGACAGTAGGACTGGCAGCACGAAGAGAGTCCGACTCAGGGTCGGCAAGCGCAGGAAGAGAGGACTCAGGAGGAGAAGGCAAAGGGGCACGCAGAGGAGCAGTGGACGGACGCAAAGACATCCGGTGCGTGCCAGGAACAGGAGGAGGACGCTGACGCGAACTGCGACCACTAGCGCGAGCAGCACGAACAGGCGACGCGGGACGAGACGCAGGCTCACGACGCTCAGCAAGACCTCCAGTAGGACCAGTGTAAGGAGAGGGAGCAGGCAGTGGAGAGGAAGGCTCCAGCAGGGACTGCGACTGGACAGGCGGTGGACCCTCTACTGGAGGAGAAAGACCAAGAACCTGCTGCAGGAGCGGAACGAAGTACGGCCGAGGCCGCGCGGCGGCTCCAGACTCAGCAGGGACAGCACCAGCACCCTCAGCGACAGCACCAGCGCCACCCACACCTCCAGCGGCAGGACCAACAGCAGCAGGCTCAGCACGAACGCCCTCAGCAGCTCCAGCTCCAGGAGGACCCGCAGGTCCAGCAGCTCCGGGACCGGCAGCACCCGCACCCTCGACGGTCGAAGAAGCTCCAGCTCCAGCTCCAGCAGCACCTCCAGACTCAACAGCACGCCTCCAGCGGCGAGCGAACCACTCACGCAGCTCCTGTGGAGAGAAGGGCTCCCGGCGAGACGCAGCAGCAGGAGAAACCCCAGGCTCAGCAGCTCCAGACGCAGCACCCCCAGGCTCAGCAGCTCCCGACCCAGCACCCCCAGGCCCAGCACCTCCAGGCACAGCACCCCCCGGCTCAGCACCCCCAGGCTCCGCACCCACCGCAGTAGCACCCTCAGGCCCAGCACCCCCAGCAGTAGCACCCCCAGGCTCAGCACCCCCGCGCACAGTACCCCCAGAGTCAGCACCCCCAGGCTCAGCACCCGCAGCAGCACCAGAGTCACCAGTAACCTCGACCGGGTCAACGGCGTCTACCTGGGACACACCTGAGGGGGCAGGAACCTGAGGGGGGAGGGGGTCAACCGGGGGGGGAACCGGCACAAGGAAGTCCGGGGGAGGGGGGAGGGAAGGAGTGCGGTAGGGGAAGAGACGGTAGAAGGGGACTGACTCGTCGAACGTAACGTCCTGGGAGGACAGAACACGACGAGAGGAGGGGTGGTAAAACTGCCACCCTGGGGCGTCAGTGGGGAAGCCAAGGAAGACACAGGGAGCAGCACGAGGGGACAGCTTGTCCGCAGACAAGTCGCGGACAAACGCCCGAGATCCCCAGACACGGAACACAGACGCATCGCCAACCTTCCCCGTCCACAGCAAGACTGGGGACATCGCAGGCCGAGAGACCCGGGGGTGAAGGTTGAGCTGATGCGCCGCGTACCTCACCGCAAACGGCCACAGAAAATGGGGGGCAG